GGGCTGAGCTGGCCACACACACACACACACACACACACACATAAATAAAATTTTAAAAAATCAATACTATAAAAATAATAAATATTGAAAGAGTAAGCATATGGGAAGGTTATAAAAGTTAAGTACAATAATTTGGCAAAGGATTAGAACATTCCAAGATTTGGGGAACCTCAGGGGCACTCTAGCAGCCCCCCATGAATACTAAAGGTGATTCATTTTAGGTTAGTCACTGACTTCCGCCAAGTCAATTCCAAACTGGAGGCCCTCACACATTGCAAACAATAAAGCCTGGGATGGCAGGTGCTGCATTCATTCCCTTCCTGAAGGCAGGCCCTCAGCATCCCAAAGGAGAACTGAGCCATACTCCACCACCGTGCCTGGCTGGACCCAGGGCTCTGCTATTTACATTCTCTTCGGATGACATCATGGGGCGGCAGCGGCTCCAGGAGGCCTCCCAGCAATAGCTCACCAAATAAGGTTCGAAGCTCCACAAAAAAAAAAAAAAAAAAAAAAAAAAAAAAAAAAGACGACGAAGAAGATGGGCGGAGAAGGGCCTGGCCGGTCTGGGGGCCCGAGTGGGGGTGGGAGTACCCTCCAAGGCCCAGGCAGGAAGTCCGTGCCCTGCCGGCTGGGAAGCCACACTTTTTGCACTACTGATTAAAAACTGGCCTAGGCAAAAGGCAAGAGCAGAGGACTCTCCAGTGGCCCTTCAGAACGGGATTAAAGAGAGGTAGAGAGGCCTTCCAAGAACATACGGCTGGCACTCACTGCTCTCTACCTGATGCCAGGCTCTGTATTAGGCACCATGTGGATGCACACGATGTAAGTTTTCTGCATCTCAAACATGGAGAATGAAGGAAAAGAAAATGAAGGCCAGCTCTGGCTGGCTCCAAAATCCAAACTCAATTTTCCAGCACACAACCTGAATCATTCTGTGAGGGATACAGACAGGGACAGCTACTATTCCCAACCCCAAGCTCACCTGCCCAGCTCCTCCCCCATCTCATAGTGGTCCTCTACATCCTCCTGCCGGAAGGCGGACATGCTGGTCACCCACCTGCCGGGCGGCAGCTTCTGCTCCAGCAAAAGTTAGGCGAAGTCACAAGGACCCTGGAAAGAAAGCAGCAGGTGAGAGCTCAGCGTTTCTCCCTGCTAAACAGGCACCAGACACAGTAATCCTCCCTCAATTTCACACTTCCTCCGAGAAGCCAGGCCTAGTGGTGCACACCTGTGATCCCAGGACTTGGAAGGCTGAGGCAGAATTGCTCTGAACAGGAGGGCAGGCCAGCCCGACCTACCAAGTAAACCCTGTCTCAAAAATAAACTCCTGCGGCGGGCCCTCAGCTCAGTGGGTCGCTAAATTGCCTAGGCTGGGCTTGAACCCGCAATACTCCTGCCTCAGGCTCCTGAAGTTCTGAGATGACAGGCCTGCGCCTCCACGCTTGGCTCTGCGAGCCCACTTGGGGCGCCGCTGACCTCCGCCGTCCTAGGAAGATTACCTTCTCCCTGCACCTAGCAAAGGCCCGCACCCGCAAAGCGATCTTCTCCCCGCAAGGTGTTCCACCCCTAAAGTCCCCGCTCCAGCAAGCCCTGAGCAGCCACGCCCCTAGCAGGCCCAGGCAGCTCTCCAAAAGTTGCCCCCTTCAGCTTCTCTCGTCCTCCCCGTACTCTGAGAGCCCCTAAGGCGCCGCCCCGGTTCCACCCAGCCCGCCGGCCTAGGCCCAAGCCCGTTCGCACCTCCGCTGCTCCGAGTCCGAAGCCGGTCTAGCCACCGCAAAGGCTACAACCTCCTCCTTCAGGCTGGGACGCCTCGCGCCTGCGCAGGCGCCACCGAGCCCACCAGTTCCCGCCCCCGGAAGGCAGACCCCATCTCCCATTGGTTAACCCACCTGCCGCTCATGCCTCATCCCAAAGGTCCACCCTCTGCGTCTTTTCCGGGCACCGCACCCGGATACTGCCTCGCCTTTGGCTTGACTGAATGACTTTCCGTGACCTGATTGGCTGGCATGGACACTAGTTAAACACCGGGAAAGAAGGATTTTGCAGTCTCCAGAGCGCCCCACCCTCCTCTAAGTAGAAGTTAAATCATGGATCCGGCCCTGCTTCCTTCTCCGATGCACTGGACACGAGAGTAAACTCCTGGGATGGACGCTGGGAAGGGACTAGTGGTTCGCTTACTCAGCACACTGGGTAGTGAGCTGCTGAGACAACCTCAGGAGCTGTTTCCACATTGTACCAGAGGTTAGCCAACCTGTCCAAGGTCACACAGCTATGAAAGAGAACTAAAGACACCTACTAAAGATCTGAACCCGACACAAGAGAACTGTGCTGAAGCCCCCAAGTCCCCTAACGCCTGAACCAAGGCGGTTGCCTGCAAGTCTACGTTTCATGGCCCATGGCGACTGTACAAGAGGCAGCTGCTGGCTGAAGCCTTTGCACGGCCAGCCCCACCGCCGCACAGCGCAGCATCAGTGAGATTCCGACGTGGCTCACAGCCCTGGGGGAGGGGAGTGGTCTGTACCCACAACTGTTCAGAGCTGGGCATGGGGGCACATCTGCAATCCCAGCACTCTGGAGGCAGCGGCAGAATTGCTTTCAGACCAGCCTGGACTACAAACTGAGCTCAAAGCCAGCCTCAACTGCATACTCAGAAAAAAAAGGATGGTGGGCTGGTGAGATGGCTCAGTGGTCTAAAGCAACTACTAGATAGCAAGACCATGTCTCAAAACTAAATAAAGAGAGGCTGGTGAGATGGCTCAGTGGTCTAAAGCACCCACTTAAAACAAGCTTAGCAAAAGCACAGGGACAGCGGTTCAATCCACCAGCACATGCCAGCCCGCCCCGCCCCCTGGTGGGCTGAGCTGCCCCCCACACACACAAATAAAACTAAAGAAAACATCCTTTAAAAAAAAAAAAAAAAGCCCGGAGATGGCTCAATAGAATAAACGCTTGTCTGGCAAGCACAAGTGTCTGAGTTCAATCCCCGGTTCTGCAAAAGAAAGAAAAAGGAAAAAAGAAAGAAAAAGAAAAAAAGAAAAAGGAAAAAAACGATGGAGACTCAATGCTCAAACTCAGTGGCACAATGCCTGGCCTTCAAGTGTGAGATTATGAGTTCAATTCCTGGTTTTTTTTTTTTAAAAAGGAGATAGCTCAGCAGGCTAAGGCCCTGCTTAGGCAAGCACAGGGTCCAGTTCAATCCCTGGCGCATGCTGAGCATGCCACGAGACCAAGCACAGTGGCACACACCTGTAATTGCAGCGCTGGGGAGGCTGAAAACAGAATTGAGTCCAAGCTGTGTAGTGACACCCTATGCCAAATATATTAAAAAATTTTTATTAAAATGCAAGCTCACTTCTGTTAAAAACCAGAGGCAGGGGTTTTGTTCTTTATTGCTACAAAAATTGCAACAGTGAGAACATTTAGCTCATGGCTCAGGATGCTTAGGCAGTCCAAAGTTCTTGTTCCACTTTAATAATGAAGTTCAAGCTGCGTCATGTTGTACACCTGTGTTCTCTCCAGCACTGCCATGAGCTCAAGGCCTGCCTGGGCTCAGACTCAAGGTTCAAACTGGAAACTGTATCACAGCATGCGGGTGGAAACCTGGAAGCAATCAGGACTTTGCTCCTTTTCCCAATTCCACTCAGATAAGGGCTTGCCTGGCAAAATCCCACTCAGATCTCAGTGGCTACACATGAAAACATGCCCAAAGCTTGCCAACTATCATCACTTGGAATGAAGGCCCCTATGACATTTGCAAAGGGCTGGGGTACAGAAGAGATACAGCACTGGCATCCCCACACCAGGGCGCCAGCTCCACCCCGGCTGTCTTGTACCTGCCTCTGCCAGTCAAGGTGCGCTGCACCTGAGCAGGCTGGGGAACGATACGTGGGGACTGCACACCTGCCCCCGCCAGCCATGGCAGCCACTCTGGACAGCAGGCGTGGGGACTCCTCTACCAGATCAGCTTGCCATCCTTACCACTTTTGGGGCTGACTCCCCCACCAACCTTGTCAATGACACACAGCAAAGCCACAAGGTCACCACCATATTGAATTTATTATTCCAATGGCACTAACACAGCTGGTGGTGCTTGTGGTGACACCGCACAGGACCTTGCCTTCCAGGGCTTACTTACCCACATGTTCTTCCAATTGGGGCAAGCATGGCTTCAGGCCATTTACCCAAACAAATCTCTGTAATGTATTTATTTTAAATTTTGGGGCATCAAGTTGTGGTTCCCTCTGAACAAATGAAAAACACTGGGTGTCCTGCCCCACCTTCCCACCCACCGGCCCAAAAGTCCCTGCAGAGAGGGCATTTCTGCTGCTCTGTGAAACCCAAAATAAATAGA